AAGAGGGGCTGTAGGATTGGCCCCACAGTTTAGATAAACGTTTACATTTTGGGTGATATTCTGTTCTACTTGGAATTAAATTGAATATTTTGTGGCATGTCCAATGATATCATTATAATGCTCTGTTTTTAGGATCTGACTAAAGTTATTTAGGTGTTCAGAATGGAATAAAGTTCTGCTACCAAGTTTCTACCACAGAATCTTGTTCCAATATTTTTCATTATTTTGAAAACTTTACACTAATTTCTTGCTGGAACTTATATTGATTATCAAATCACTCTTTAACCTCTTAGCATTATCAAACTGTCCAAGTCAATTAAATGAAAAGGTGTTCCTTATATGCACTTGTGATTTATTGATGTGGTGCCCAGCAGTGAATCTAAGTTTAATATTTTACTTATGATTTTGTAAAATGCCTTGAGATATGGCTTCATGAAAGGTATACCCATTTTATACAACTGTGTTTTCTTACCTAGGCAGATCTGATTGTTAAAATGAAATTCAGATAACTTACTATTAAATATAAAATCTGATTTTATTCCTATTAAATCAGCAAGGCTCCTTGTGTGTTTATATGATTCTCTACCCCACACATTAGATAATTTATATAATCTTAAAATGGAAAGACAAACTAGCTTTACTATAACGCTATTATTTTCATGTCAAACTTTTAACATGAGCACAGGAATTGGAAAATTAATCATCATTAGCAGCGGGTGAACCACACAAGGTTCAGAATACTTGCTGAGGTCTGAATTGGAAATCTCATGATTGAACTTTTTCTACAGAATCCTTCATGGTGTAAACCTAGATGGAAAGTCCAGATACATCAATATATCATGTTTGTTTCTATTCTGGCCCATATCAGGAAGCACAGAAAGGTTGACTGACTGAAGTTCAATTTTATTGGAGTCTCACAATTTTTTCTCTTTTATTCAGTTCATATTTGGAATGAAGCTACAAGTCTGTTTTTATTTTAATCCAGGCTGGTTCATCTAGCATTAATTACACTACTTTAACCCTTAGAAACTAGCTAGCCCCTTAATGAAACAATTCTAGTTGGCTCTTTTCTCAATTGTTGGCAGGTTACACTGAGGGGCTTACATGCAGTAGGTCTGGATGTGATTTCTGCCTTCTAGGTGGTATCAGACTATTTCACCCCTTCGCTGATAGAAACTCTCACTGATCTTCAGAATGAATTCTCCAATGTTCCTTCTCCCACTTCTTATCCCCATTCCCAATAAGATTCTTTCTCAACTTCAGAGAGATAAGACGGGAGTTAGGGAAGGAAGATCAAGGAGATGAGCAGAAGTGAGGAGAGAGAGGAAAGCAATAGGATGTGTCCAGGGAATGAGAGCTAAAACTCTGTGTGCACACAGAGGGGCAAGAAAATTAATGGGAAGTGGGTCCAAAGAAGGCATCCAAAAGAGGAGAAAGAGGAATCAGATGGTACAGTTATAGATCAGGGGTGACTAAACTTTTCGTGCTATGGACCACCTTTCATAATATGGAGATCACATGGACTACCTTCTGTCCTGGTGCTACCACTTGTCCTGTCACCACTTCCTGACTGGGATTGGGACTCTGACAGTGAGGAGAATCACTTTAATTATCTTTCTCTGTCTCTGACATTCCTCTGGTTTTTGGACTGTGGAGTACAATGATGGAAGGGAGGCAGGGAAGGAGGAGAGAAAAGAAAGCAGCTTCTGTTATGGAGAAGCCTAGTGATAATTCCATGTTCCTTGTTCTGCAGTGTGTCCTAGCTGGAGCTAGAGAGGGGAAGTGGGCAGTAACGTTTGATTACCCAGATCTCCACATATAATAATTTGGCAACTCACAACCTAGTTCATTAAAGACATGGAGCAATTTTACTGATATTCTGTTTTTTCTCTAGGCTGTAAGTAAAGTAAGGATAAATACAGTTATGCTTTCTAAAACTGTTTTCACCAAGTAAGAAGAATAGATACTCAAATTAAAGTAGATTTGTTGAGGGCTGCCTGATGATAATATAGGCCACATGTTCTAGTATTACAGGTCTGTGAAAAAATCTATATTCTTCCCACATGTTATAGGTTTACACATCTGCTGGGGAAATGGAGCCAATTTAAACCCTTGCTGATGTGACTAATAAGGTTAGATAATTGGATTTCTGGCAGATTAGTTAAACAGCAGCCAACCATTCAATTCTAAGTTCTCTTTGCAAGCAAAGCAGGACAATACCTGGCAGTTGCAAGCACATAATATAATGCAGCACCCACACACAAAATAAGGATGAAAGCCTACCTAGATATTGCTAATGTTTTTTGAACAAAATATGAATACCTCTCTCATAATGCATACATTTTTTTTGTTATTTGGAGCAGGCCACTCACCATGAACAGTAAACAGCAAACCGGCAATGGCCTGCATGACAAGACAAGAAAACCTCAGTCTGCTCAGCATAAGAAAGCATCGGGGAGCTGAAGCTGGCTGCCTTGTTCTCCAGGCAAGAGTCAGCTCCAGCACTGACTAAAGGCTCTGAGTACATTCTGCAGTAGTGGAGTATTGCCAAGGCAGTGCAGAGCTCTGCAACACCTAGACAGCTTGCTGGAGAGGAAAAGAGGCAAAGGGTCTGGCTGCTGTGCAGCTGTACCAGTGAGAACATCTAGCTCAATGGAATTCTCTATTGGGCATATACAATCGTCTTTCTGCCTCTTTGGGGTGCAATCTAATTACAAGAGCAACCCTCTGAGTTGGGTGTTAAAAATGAAAGAATCTTTTTAGTGGGGTATAAGGTGGCACACATACTGTGAGAGTTGAAGTTACACCTGTGTATTTTAAAACACATTTTCACTATTTAAATGCTGCGACTACATTGCATTCTATGCTAAGTCTTGCTCAATTGCTCGAGTTTAACCACAGATGTGAATATAGTGATGGGCCTTGCAAAGTACATCTCTCTTGCACTTATATGTGAAACTAAGAATGGACCGATTGGATATTCCCTTTTAGATATAAATATGCATTCCAAATGTATTGAATAAGGGGTTTAGGATAGTATATACAGAAGTACTAATGTTGCATTCATAATGAAGCAAGCTGTTGTGACATGAAGATATAAATATATAGAATATTTCTATGTAATGCAAAATATTTGTGATTTAAGCATAAAACATATTTCTTCTCAAAAAGGGAAGAAAGTTTACATTAAATATTTAAGTTGTTCATCTATTAAAATCACCAGACTATTCTATGCAAGGAAATATAGGGCCATAAATTAAACTGTAATACTATCCTTATATAGTTCATGATCCATATAGTTGCACAAATAACAAAAACATTCTCTGAGATGAGAATATATAAATGGGACCCCATTGAGCACTTCTGGTTTTTATTCTGTTCCTTTTTATTACAGCAAAATTATATACAATGTTAACATACTACATCATAGATTACTTAGTACTGCAGTAACATCAGAGAAAAATCTAAAAACTGATTATTGAAATTGAATTGAATCAAAGTACTGATCAAAAGTTCCTCAGGTATTGCAATACAACAGAAAATTAATTCAGCAAGTCATGTTATATATGTTGAACTCATTCCTTGTAGACATTCATTTCTTTTGACTATAGACATGTTAGAAGCTTGTTATGAATACTAACTTATGAAAAATAAGCCCTACACAGAAACATAGAAGTTCCCATCCAAGAAACTTAAACCTCAATTTAAATGAACAAATGGTTAAAACAAATTTAAAGCTTCAGAACTAAAGCTGGACAAATAAAGGATTTTTTGATTTGCTGGAAATTCTAATAAATCAGGTTGAACCACAAATGCATTTTATATTTTTTGGAGAATTAGAAAGTTGAAAAAAATAGCATCAGGTCAAATAAAATGTTCTCAAAATGAAACATTTGGTTGGGATTTTGAGCATTGTAGGGTAAACTGAGGCAGCCCTAAATGTGCTAGGAGGCCTCTAAACAGCATAACTCCATTCTAAGATTAAGGCCTGGGAACACCACAGTCAGGATAAGAACTGCAGACAGTCAAAGACCCTGGGCACCATAGCAACCACGTTCTAAAACACTCGGACCGGGTCTCAGTTGGTAACGTAAGACATTTTGCTTGAGATAACATTCATAAAATTTGCTTAAACTGTCTTGCTTCACTCCTAGATAATAAGCCTGAGAACCAAGCGCTGCACCAACTCAAGGCCATACCCGCCTGCTATAGCAACATCATCATCTATGCAGACTAAAATGTTATTACTGTTTTGCTGACATGTTTTGGCATTTGAACAATAACCACCTGTATATTAATTAATGAGCTGTTACTTTGCAATGGGCGGAGATATTATGTAATCTTTAGTAGTTCTATTGGCTTATGTGCTCATTTCGTCTTGCTGCTAGACCTATCAAATCATTTTTCCTCTGTCCACCTGCTGACTACATAACCTATTGTATTGTGTTAATTAACCAGTGTTTACCAGGGTAACCCCTGCGTGTCACTCCATCAGCTGGTGTATAATAAATCCTCCACTTGTTTTCACCTGCATCCAGAGTGTCCTGGATTATTTCCAACAAGCATATTCGAGGATCACAGTAACTCCATTTCTCTGCTTTTTACTAAAGGGGATCAAGAGGTCATTGGATCATGCTGACAAACCTAAAATATGTGTAGCTATACAATGCTTACCATTTGGAAGCTTCTGGTAGAATGAAACTCGCACTGCATCATGTCAAAGAATATTGGGATCGTAGCTTTTCGAAGTTCAGTTTCAGGAATCAGTGTCATTTCTAACATAGGCCCAACCATTTCTGGGATAAATTTGATCTTATGTTGACCTTTTGGGGGAAAAATGTATTTAAAAATTAATGTACCTCCACTAACAGTGCTATAAGATTACCTTAAAAAGTTTTGCTTTGAATATCCAGAGCATAAGAATTCATTTCTTCATTTTGGGCTCAATTTCTTAATTGGAATTTATGTCCTAATGTAAGTCACTAATCCTCAAAAAGAGATGTGAACTCTCTTCTCAAGGTGAAGAATAAAACTATTAAAGAACAGCTCAAGATAAAACCAAACCAGAGCTTGCTATACATCCATAAACCAAATTTACACACATCCATGTAACATATTGAGTACTTGAGTTACATCATGCAAATAGGATGGAAGGGGGGGGGGGAATTTCTTTAAATTATTTAAAATTCCATACCTTTCTCAGTGTTACAAAATGTGACACTATCAAAATGTTATTATAACTGCATACTTACAGCCTCAAGATATGAAACTACATCTGAGGCAGATCTAGATTATGTCTTCTTTCTTCTAAAGTTGATTTGACTGGCTAATTTTATTTTACATTTTCATCCCAAATGGAAACTGTGCCTCCCCCAGTTTCTGGCCCTCGCAGATTCAATTTCTTAACAGCAAATTGAATATTTATAAAAATTAGACCATTTAACTAAAAACATCTACTGTAGTTACTGTAAGCAGCATTGGCCAACAGAAGAGATAATTTATTCAGTAAATGATCAATTCTGTAACATTAAGGAAGGAAGAATGAATATCATGCACAGAATATGAAATGTGTGACAGATTTGGGGACACTGATATATATACGTCTTAGAAACATGACTGTACTCCAATCTCAGCAATAGACTTCCTGGAGTGACTCTTGAAACAAAGCACAACCTCTCTAGGCCTTAGTTTCCACATCTGGGAACTGGGGTAAATAATGATTAACTAATTTAGAAGATTGCTGTGACATGTAATTTCTTAATATTTGTAATGTGCTCTGAGATCCTTGTATGGAAGTTGCTATAGAGACCCAGTCTATTATAATACTGTACAATGCATGGAACATAATATATCCTCTTGATTTTTAAATTAAATGTAATATCTATATGCAAGAAATTTGCACAGTACAGCATGAATTCAATCATTTCTGAAACTTCACACACACATAACTGTGGAGCAGTATGTAACAGTATATTCATTAGCATGGCTGGCCTCATAAGACTACTGTAGGAATAGCTGAGATAGTATTTATATTTATTAGCAATTTTAGTTATGATTGCAATGAACATAAGATCATTTAATATACGAGGTGATCAAGAAGAAAGTCCTTATTAACAATATAGGAACATAATAATCATTTTATTTCTTTCAACAAATAATAAAATGTTAAGTTGCTTTATTTACTATCTTAACTGTGAATTTAAATAGAAAACAATGGCAGCAGCAATGGTAGATATATGCCTGGAGGATTAAGGGATGATTACTAGCAGCCAGCATGGATTTTCTTAAAAACAAATCATGCCAAACTATCTTGATTTACTTCTTTGATAAGGTAACTGGTTTGGTGGATATGGAGAATGTGGTGAATAAGATATCTGGACTTTAGCAAGGCATTTGATAAAGTCACACATGAAATTCTCTTTAAGCAAGCTGAAGAAATGTGGGCTCAGTAGAACTACCATAACCTGGATACATAATTGATTAAACAAATGCAAACAAAGAGGAACTATTAATGACATCAGACTGGAAGGAGGTCTCAAGTAAGGTTTTATAGGGATCTGTTCTGGGTCTGGTATTATTTAACATTTTTATTAATGAGCTGAATATAGGAAACTGATAGAAGTTTCAGAGGACACAGAGCTGGGGGAGGAGGGCTGCAAACACTCTGGATGACAGAGCCAAAATTGAAAGTGATCTTGATAATTTGGAGAACTGGCTATAGACATAAAAATGAAATTTAAGAAAGTCAAATGTAAAGAGAAATGCTTGAAGACGAACTAAATGCACAAAACCAAAAATGGGAGATAATCGGCTTAACAACAGCACTGCTGAGAAGGGTCTGGAAGTTGTGGTGGACCACAGTCTCATCAAGAGTGAAAAATGCAGTGCAACGTTGTAAAAAAAGGAAATGCAAGGGTGATAGGACCTCTCTACTCAGCACTGGGTAAGCTTCAACTTGAACTGTGGTGTCCAATAAGTTCTGAAGCAGTAGCTACTACAATGGCAACTGCTATAGAATCATAGGGCTGGAACAGACCTCAGGAGGCCATTGAGCTCAGCCCCCTGCCCAAAGCAGGACCAACTTTAACTAAATCATCCCAGCCAGTAGCGAACTAGCCACACTCCACCGGTCAAAGAGCCACATATGGCTAGTGGCGAATGTGTTGGACATCACAGAACTAGAGTAACGTGTCCAATTTTGGTCATCACTATACAGAAAGTATGAAGAGAAACTGGAAAAGATCTAGAGGCAAGCCACAAAGATAGTCAAAGGGATGGAATGCAAGCCATATGAACAAAGGCTGCAGGAACTGGGTATGTTTAGAGTGGAAAAGAGAAGATTAAGAAGGGACATGTTAGCAGTCTTCAAATACTTGCAAAGTTGCCATAAAAAGACGGAGAAAAATTGTTCTCTCTTGCTAAAGAGGGCAGGACAAGAGGCAATGGGTTCAAATTATGACATAGTAGATTCAGATTAAAGCTTATAAAAACTTTCTAACCGTGATAACAGTTAAAACTAGGGAAGTCATGCAAGCTCCAAGGTTTTCAAAAAGAGGCTGGATAGCCATTTGTCTTGACATGGTGACAGGGGGTTAGACTAGATGACTTTCACAATCCCTTCTAACTCTATGGTTCTAAGCATCTTAATAGAATGTTAGTTTGATCCTGCCATATGATCCTGCCAATGTTAAATGTTTTTGAGGACCATACAAGTAACAGCTCTAAAGCTTTCTTTTCTTTTCATGTTATATCCTTCAACCTCTCAGGTGACAGTTTTCTTGTATCATTCCTGAAAAGTGTCAGAGCTAATATTTCAGAGAACAAATGATAGTGTCACAAAGTTATTCATCAGGCGCAACATCAATGTCATGAAGTTCTCTATCTGTCACAATGAGTTTTTCATTGTTCCAAGATTAAGGATCTATAGCAAAGAATAACTAGTATCCTTTGAGGTCTAGATGTGATAACTAGCAAAATTAATAAATAATGGATTTCAACTCTTTGATTTCTCTTCTTTTCTTATAACAGAATATATTGCTTCTGCCCAAACAGAAAGCTACATAACATCTCAGCTGAGTGACAAACAGCTACATATCTTGACTATGGAGCTACGAGTCCAATGTTATGAGGTGCTGAGCATCTCATACAAATTGGTGAGCATCTCATACAAAGTGCTGACATTTATGGGAGCAGTGGGCACTGTCAGAACTTGCTCCATACCTCATATGTTCAGTTCCTTTACAGGTATCAGCAAAATGTAGGAAAATTGCTGTTGTAAGTTTTGCTATTCAGAGTGTATTACATTCCCAGCAATCCTCTCTCACAGGTAATGATTAATGGAGTTTTTAAATCAATGAGGACAAAGGAAGGTTTTCAGCAAGTGAAATACAAAAGAAGAACATGGGGGATATTAAAATTATTTGTAAACTTTGGTATAATTTCTTCTGAAATTTGAAGCCCATTTAGCTCTTCATCTCATCTGCAGAAAATGTAGGCGACTCCCACCAGAATTTAAACTCTATGCTGCATAGAAAAACAAGTAAAATAATCAGCAAGAACTCTGGAGTCAGCATTCTCTCTGTTTTGGATGCTAAGCATATTTTTGTCTCATGAATCAGATCTACTGTACCCACCTGAGATTTAAGATACAATGTGGATTTTCATATAGGAAGTTGAAGAGGACTACAAGATATCAGGGTAGAGCAAATGAAAATGTTAAATAATCTTCATCATTATCCCAAATTTACATTACACAAGGGCTGTGTCTAGACTGGCAAGTTTTTCCGCAAAAGCAACTGCTTTTGTGGAAAAACTTGCCAGCTGTCTACACTGGCCGCTTGAATTTCCGCAAGAACACTGACTTCCTACTGTCTGAAATCAGTGCTTCTTGCGGAAATACTATGCTGCTCCCGTTCGGGCAAAAGTCCCTTTTGTGCAAAGCTTTTGCGCAAAAGGGCCAGTGTAGACAGCTCAGATTTGTTTTGCGCAAAAAAGCCCCGATCGCAAAAATGGTGATCGGGGCCTTTTTGCGGAAAAGCGTGTCTAGTTTGGCACGGACGCTTTTCCACAAAAAGTGCTTTTGTGGAAAAGCGTCCGTGCCAAACTAGATGCTCTTTTCCACAAATGCTTTTAACAGAAAACTTTTCCGTTAAAAGAATTTGCAGAAAATCATGCCAGTCTAGACGCAGCCAAGGAGAAAGAGATATTTGGCTCATCCAGCAAGATGATGTGAGCAAACTGTTCAAATGGAAGCTCATATAAGCACTAATATATTCTTAACCAAAGCTAATTTAATATACTATATGATGTATTTCAGTATGTCAGCAATGTACAGAAACACACATGTGTATTTGCCACGATAACATGATCCAATGTAATGTTGTGCCATGACATAAAATCTTACAGAGAAAATACAGAAGGAAATTATTTTATTCTGGAACCAACAGCATCTACTTCTGCTGTCTGTCACATACAAAGCATAACCTGAGATAGACAAGTGAACGATGAATTCACAGGTTTTTTTCCCCCTGGAGCGTGAGAGCTCCCATGCATGGATTCAAAATGTGACAGGTTGGAAGAAAATGTAGGACTCTGTCTTTGTCAAGGTGGCAAGGTAATATAATGTTAAGCTGCTTTAAAACTATAGGTAAAAAACTATAGCATTTGTTTAATCAGCCTGCAAATTCTTGCTTTATTTTGGCCACTTCTTTCTGTTGTGTACACTGCCTCTTTTAGAGTGCTTTCATCATAGTGCCATATGATAGATAATAAAATAATAGTACCAAAAATAAAATATAGAAGATATTAGATAGTTATGTGTTTTTCCTCACTTGTATGATTATCAAATAATCAATTAGAATATAAATATTATACTTATAGTACACTTTAAGTATATAATATATAAAGGAGTATAAACAAGTTATTGTATGAAATGTTAGTTTATATTGACTTTGCTACTGCTTTTTATGTAGACTATTATAAAGTGGCGAATATCTAGAAGAGTTGATGTAATCTAGAAATACAGGAGCTGACTCCGTGGATGCTCCAGGCCTGGAGCAGCCACACAAAAATGTTGGCAGATTCTTAGCAGCTAATCCTACACCCAGTACTGCCTGCCCACCAGCAGTCAAACATATCAATTCCTCCTTTTCCTCCCAGCAACTCCTTCCTGCTGCAAATCAATTGAAAAGGTAAGATGGGGGAGAGGGCTTGGAGGAAAGGGTGGAATGGGGCAGAGGCAAGGGGCTGAGCAGAGCTTGAGAACTTCTGGGGAAGAGCAAAGCCAGTGCCTATATCTAGAAGATCTCTGCACACCCCCGGTTGAGAACCATTGCTCTAACATTAAATATTGAAAATAACATCAATTATCCTGCATGAGGGGAGAGCAATATGGAGAAAACCTTTGCAATCATGTAATTAAAGACTATTAAATTAAGCTTGAATGGGGAACTTTAATTCTGACATTGGCTGAATTCTGAGTGCTTGACTTTGTAACTATTCCATTATTTTAGGAATGTTACTCTTAAAAGTACTACATAGGTTTTAATGAATATACACACAAAAAGAGTGGTCAAAAGAAGAAATGTACTCACCTAGGTTATACCACATATCTCTGATCTCAAAACCAATTTGCCTCCTCATGTCACCATACCTAAAAAGGAACACATTTCCTTATAAACGGTAGCAGGCAAAATGAATTTGATCAACAATTTGAGTATCATTGAATGATTCTACTTGAACTTTTAAGAAATATGCTGTGTTTAATGACTTGTCCAAGCCACCCAGAAGATGCATGGTAGCAGTCAGGAACTCTGGCTCCCAAGTCTGTGTTCTAATCTCCACACTATTCATTCTACCCTGAAGGAAATATATTGCAATTTCTACAAGAGAGAGCACACACACAAGTCACCTGTGGGAATCTCTCTTTTGCCACATCTGCATATTACATAACTATCCGTTGGGAACATGGGGGTGGTTGTGTAGATTAATGAGAGTATTTTCAGTTTTTCATTTTCTAGTGATAAAAGAAAGCACACTGAACAGCTTTACAGCCTAAAGGATATTTTATTTTTATACATATTCTTAGTATACATACATTGTCTTGGAAAAATAAAATGAAAAACGCCTCACAAAATCTTATACGTTACAGTTGCCAGCACAAAGTCAAAATGAAATCAGATTTTTGAATCGGAAGTTTATGCTGGGATGCAGTGATGCCCTGAAATGGGGCTGATGGCACTAATGCTTCACACAAATAGCAAACTGTCATGGATCCTCTGTACAGCAGTACAGATCTGGATCTAATCCAGCTCCTAGAAATCCACATAAAGCTTCCCCCCAGACTTTGACTGGAGCTAGATCAGAGCCTTAGTGAGTTCCTAGAACATATTTGCTTGAAGGAGTATAATTTTTTTTTTACAAATCATCGCTTTTCTTATATTGGCAAAATCACAGCATTTGATAATTGGCAAAGGGTCGCCCTGATATTAGTGTGGATTAAAGAGATCCTACTGTATTTTTAAAACATCTGTTGCTATTTAACACGAACATAAAACACCAGATAAATAAAAGTGATATTTGTTATACAACTAAATAAAATCTTATGCTTCAAAACCCATGACTTTATTGGTTGCCAAGCAATTTCCTTTCTCATTTTATTGCCTAGAAAAATATAATTATATTAAAATTATAATTTGTAAAGCTATTATCACAGAGTTTTACAAATCAGCAAATGTTAAGTCTGTCTAAGACCTGGTCTATTTACCCTTTTTATCAGACTTGAAGAAAAGGGTGAAAGTCTGTTGATCTCTTACATTTCTTCCATAGTGCAATGAATAGAACAGTTTTATGCCCAGGTTGATAAAAAAAGAAGCCCTTACAAGGTTCTCATAATCTCCATCATAATCTCTTCCGTGACCCCCCCTTTGTCAAAAAAGCCGCGTAAACCTCATTTATGCGGCTTTTTGATGGGAGGTACGGGGGGATTTCACTGAAAAAGCCGCGTCTAAACTACTTTTACTTTCGAAAGCTGCACTTTCAAAAGTGCAATTGGAAGAAGATATGCAAATTCCTGCAGAAGTTGAATATCCTCTTTCGACTGTTCCTGATAGTCTAAATAAGCCCTAAGGTGCCACAGGATTGCTTATATTATACATATCATACACTTTTTATATACACACACAGAAAAATATATCTCTATACACACACACACACACACACACACACACACACACACACACACACACACATACACATGCATACATTCAAACAGAGACACAAATATATAACACTGATGTGATATCTGTATAACTTGGAAAGATATGTGAAATTGCATGGGCATGTGAGAATTAAACATAACTTACTATATGTTAATGACAACATTGTTTACCTACTAATCCAGTGTTTCCCAAATGGTGCTCCGCGGAACCCTGGGGTTCCGCGAAGTGAACATAAGGGTTCCGCGAGGACCTGAACACTCCCCTCCCCCCGCCCATAAAGAGACAGATGAGCCCGGTGCGCAAAGACGCTGGCTCCTTCCCCACTGCCCTTTCAGACATCTCCCGTCCCCCGCTGCTGCTCTGCTTTTACCCCGGGACCTAGCAGCAGCAACAGCTGCTTGTCCCGCTTCTGCCCCAAAGATCCCTCTCCCGCGTCCCCCGCTGCCGCTCTGCTTTTCCCCCGGGACCTAGCAGCAGCAACAGCTGCTTGTCCTGCTTCTGCCCCCACG